AAGGGATATGTGATTAGGTATTTTTGTCATGACTGGAGTCCAGAGCAAAAGGCTGCATAGTGGAGTGGACCTAGGGGAGAGTTTGTAAAACAATGAAAGAATTTTTCTTTTACTTTTCCAAGAGGATAGTATACTAGGAGGGAGGGTTGGGAGGGGAGAAAAGTGCAACAATGACTGAATGGAAATCCAAAGTTTCTGTAAATTTTCATTGAAATTAATAATAAATTTTAAAAAATGTAACATTAAAAAAATTCTTTGTGAGAATATATAATGCAAAGCCAACACATTTAACAATTTATACGTATGCTTAAAAGTCAGTGACATTAATCACATTCTACAAGTTGTGTGATAATTCTCATTCTCACCTGCCTCTTAACAATTGCTTCCACATTAACATAACTTCACTGGCCCCTAGGCTTCTATTTAAGCTTTCAAGTGGCTGGTGTCAGTTTTACTGCACTGAGGGAGCTCTGGTGGTGTAGTCTAAAGGGAATTGCTCTGTTAGACCAAAGGCCAAGCCTTTCTGGTGGTTTGGATCCATGAGGGGCTTCTTGGGAGAAAAATAGACAATCTCCTCCATTGCTATTTATAGCGTTGGAGGCTATGGAGGGTCAGCTATGAGTCAATTTAACTCCACAGCAGTGAGGTAAGTGGAGCTGAGATCACGTTTTGAAAAATCATAATGGTAACAAAGGCTGTGTAGCGGAGTGGACTTGGAGGGAGGGATTTTATAACAATTGAAGAATTTTTCTTTTACTTTTCCAAGAGAGTAGTGTACTAGGGGGGAGGGTTGGGAGGGGAGAAAAGTACAACAATGAATGAATGGAAATTCAAAGTCTCTGTAAACTTTTATAAAAATTAATTAATAGAAGATAATAAAAATCATAATGGTACAGGCATATATACTTTGCTAGTTAAACTAAACTACTATTCTATTTAAAAAAGAGTTCAAGGGTAATTTTTCGTTTACAATTTAAAATTGATCTCGGCAACAGTTTCAGGCGGTCATCCAGCCTCTGTGAATCCAGAAAGTCGGGATTCCATGAGAACCTGAAGTTCTGTTCTGCGTAAAATGGAAACCTTTTCAGTGTGTATCAGACTCTGCTGCACAAGTGATGGGCTTTTAGGTTTTCAGGGAGTGGGGAAAATTTAAGAGCTCCTCTTTCTCCTATCACTATTGCTCCCATTATTGCATCTCTGGGGTTTTTCTCTTAACGTTTTCCTTACCTTTGTTTTCAATTTCCCTCCCCTAGACTTTCTGCATCTGTGCTGACTCACTGCAAGGCAATCTGCTATCTTTCTTCATCAGAAGAGATCACAGGAAGTAAAAGAAGAATTGGGTTCAGAGTCAGAGGCTGCTTGGAAAGTCCATCTGCATTCAGGATCAAATCCTGTGCTCAGAAAAATGGGTCCAGTGTCCAGTGAATGTGGAACCATCCCTTCTCAATACTCCCGGATGCCCATTTCCTACTCACCTCATTGGCGTTTTCATCATCAAATTAGCTTATGGATTTAAAGTAGTAAATGCTAGACAGATGGAAGTAAGGTAACATACCTAGTAGTAGATTTAGATTCAAACTTTCATTTTAAAATAGATTTTATAATGTCATAAAACAAAATGTGGAGGCATATTTGAATGGAAAATCAGTTTTCTCTGCACTTTCATTCAAAGCGCCATAAAAAGTTGTGTTTTATTCTTTTTAAAAAGCTGGTACGAACAAAAACCACACCAAACAAAAAGCCAATAGATTGTATATCTCTTCCCTCATTTGGTATCAAATCTATTACAGATTTTTTTGGTAGTTTTGAGAGGTCAGCATAATTCTAAGATTAATTAAATAGAGACCTAACCAGCGGTGAAGATAATCTGAGCTGCTATTTTTACAACCTTTTTACACTTTGTAAAAGACTGATGAGAACAGGTCCAAGGGAAGGGGACCCAACCCAGAGCTGAGGGGATCATCGACCCAGTTTCAGCTTATACCAAATTAGTATGTGTGAAAATGGCTTCTGACGTCAGACCCTGTCTCCCTTCACAGGAGGGAGGAGAATCATCATCATCATCATCACGGCTGATTCCTGTGAAGACGAGGTCAGCCATACCACCTCTCTCCAACATTTTTATCCAGTTCTGTCACCAGCCATTTCTCCCTCGACACTCTTTGCTGGGTTGGATAATTTGTTGACATGGCCACACAGAACTCATAGATTTTACTCACAGTTGCAGGGTTTTCTAAGGAAACAACATTAAATTCAAGATCGAGATCAACTTGGAAGTAATAGGAACAACTCAAGACACAGGTCTTCAGCCAAGACAGCGCCCAGCGGCTTTTGCTGGGCCCTCCCTCCTGGCCTGGGCTCTGCTCTGCGTGGCAAGTGTCACAGAGCTCTTTCGCTCCTTCAGTAAGTGCCTGGGGGCCCCTCTCTCCACCAAGGAGCCTACAGCCCAAAGGCAGTCAGCTCCCTCGCTCGGTGGCTCTGTGTTTACTGCTAACTGAAAGATTGATGGTTCCAATCCACCAGCTGCTCCTCAGGAGAAAGATGGGCAGGCATTCGTCTCCTGTGACAGTTGAGTCCCAGAAACCCAGTGGTGGGTTACTTTGAGTCTGACCCAACTTGATGACAGTGGGTTTGGTTTTAGTAGGCACCTAAAGTTGATTCAGAGTCACAGCGATTTTATGGAACAGCGTAGAACTGTCCTGTAGGGTTTTCTATGCGGAACAGAGCATTTGAGAGGCTGGAATTTATGATGAGGAATGTGGCATCAGGAGTGGAGAACGACTTATCAACAACCTACATTATCTTACTTGCTGAAACTGAGGAGGGTCTGAAGCATTTGCTGCAGAGGGTCAAGGACTGTAGCCTGCAATATGGATTGATGTTCAACATCAAGAAAACAAAGATTCTCACCACTGGACCAATTGGCAGCATCATGACAGATGGAAAAAAGATTGAGATTGTTAATTTCAGTTTGCTTGGTTCCACAATCAACATTCTTGGCACCAGTGATCAGGAAAAATCAAAGATTAATTACATTAGGAGAATCAGGGACCTCTCCAGTGTGCTGAAGAGCAAGGATATCAATCTAGAGACTAAGGTGCACTTGATTTAGGCCATGGTCTTCCCAATTATTTGCCATACATCAGAGAGCTGGACAATTACTGATGATGACAGAAGAATTGATGTCTCTGAGTTATGATGCAGGAGAACAGTATTGAACATACCATGGACTGCCAAAAGAACTAATAAGTCAGTCCTGGAGAGGGTGAAAACATGCTGCTCCTTGGAGGCAAGGAATTGAGACTTCATTTTACAAACATTGGGCTTGTAGGTAGAAGGGACCAGTCTTTGGAGGAGGATATCATGCTTGGAATGATAGAGGGAAAATGCAGGAGAGGAAGACCCTGGATGAGATGGATTGACACAGTTGGGATAAAGAGGGTAGATATGTCAGAGACAGTGAGATTGGCTCAGGATAGAGCAGGGTTCAGAGCTACTGTGCACAGCCGTAGCCAACTTGATGGCACATAACAAGAACAACAACCTATAGAGGAATTGCAGAACAAGTTAATTGCTCTCCTGTACAGAACCTGTACATAGACTGAGAAATAGTCACTTGAACAGAACAGGGAAATAAATACTAAGTAGTTTAAAATCAGGAAAAGTGTACATGAGAGCTTTATTTTTTTTTATTTTTTATTTTTGCATATTTATTTAATTTGTATACTTAGCAAATAATTCAAGAAGCTGGAATATATGAAGTACACAGCATCAGGATGGGAGGAAAATTAATTAATAACCTAATTGACTAATAATCTGCAGATGATAAAATCTTGCTTGCTGAAAATTTAGAGGATTTGAAGCACTGACTGAAGATCTAAGTCGGCAGCCCTCAGTGCAGCTTATGGCTCCATAGAAAGAAAATGAAAAATCTTCTCAACTAGACCAATAAACAATATCATGAAAAATGGAGAAAAGACTTGACCTTGTTCAAGGGTTTAGTTGGTTCCTCAAGCCAACATCCATGGAAGCAGCAATCAAGAAATCAATGTATTGCATTGGGCAAATCTGCTGCAAAAATCTCTTTAAAGTGTTGAAAAGCAACCTGGAGGACTAAGGTTGTCCCCTTAAGGACTAAGGTGTGCCTGACCCAAGCCATTGCTTCATATACATGTGAAAGCTGAACAGGCAATTGTTGTTGTTGTTGTTGTTGTTGTTAGGTGCTGTTGAGTCCTGTACGACTCATAGTGACTCTATGAATAACAGACCTGATCCCTGTCCTGTGTTGCACCACCCTTATCATCCTAACCCACTTGAGTTAACACAATCACTGTTATCAACACAATCTCATGAAGGTCTTCCTCTCCTTTACAGACCATCCACTTTTCCAAGTCTGATACCTCTTTCCAAGGAATAGCCTCTCTTTTGAATTATGGAGAAGAATTTTTAATATACACTGAACTGCTGGAAGAACGAACAATTCTTTCTTAGAAAAAGCCCAGCCAAGAGGCTTCTTAACGGAGAGAATGGCATGGCTTTTGTCTCACTCACTTTGGACGTGTCAGAGACATGTCTGGATAACGACAACATCGTTGGAAAAGTAGAGTCTGAAAAGGAAGATCCTCAATGAGACTGGCTGACACTGAGGCTGCAAGAATGGGTCCAAACATCGCGATGATGGTGAAGACGGTGCAGGACCAGAGGTGGTTCAGTGTGTTGTATGGTGGGATCGCCACGTTCTATTGTCCAGGGGATCGCAGAATTAACTCAACCACACCAAACAGCAATCTACAGAAACAGACTACCAGATCTGTCTCCCGCGGCGCCTCCAAGCAGGTCTGAAACATTCACCTTTTAATAGCAGCTGAGTATTTAACTGTTGCTCCACCTGCCTTCCTATCTGGCCCCCAGCAGACCCTGCAGGCATCGGACAAGCAGGTCAGTGAGAGCTCACAGTCGGCCATCTCTGGGCTCTGCCTTGTGCCAGGCGGTGCTTCCTCCTGGCCTCCAAGCTTGGCTCTCAGACAGAGCGATTCTTTTTTTAAAAAA